CTTAAAAGGATCTTTTAAGGATGCTTTAAATATACAAAATCAAGTTTTGTTATAGAAAATTAATAAATCTGAAGCGTGTAATAAAATTGTCATAGTTTAATATAGTTTTAGTAGGTACGCTCTATCTGGTTTTTTTAAAGATTTTTTAATTATACCGCAATTAAAACAAATGTTATTAGTTTTATTAGTTGCCATATTCATAAGTCTCTTCCAAGGATTTTTCAAGTATTGCCTTCGTTTTGAAATGCAGTAAATTTTAATAAGAACAATAGCAGCATTTTTATGTGTAAAGAATGCTATATTTTTATCTTGAAAGAATGCTATGTTTTATTGTAAAGTATTATTGTAAAATATTTATTGTAAAGTATTTATTGTAAAGTACGCTATATTTTTAAAATAAAAAATTCTTGTTGTATATTAACAAAATTATAAAGAAATAAAGAAATTGCGATTTAAATTTCTTGGAATGGAAAGAACAAACATTTTTGCTCAAACAATAATAAAAATATTTCGACTCGCAATTGCAAGAGTGAATGTCTCACTCAAACTCAGAATGGATTTTAACTCCATATCTTAATATTATCTTACGAGGTCCTCTTAATATTGCCTCATAAAACCCCTGTTAATATTTCCTTATAAGATATTTATAAGATTATTAATATTGCCTTGCTGATATTGCCTTATAAGGCCCTCATAAGAATTACCTTATAGGGAGTCGTTAAACTATTTGTTACACATATATCTTGTAGAGCTCTTGTATTTCTAGTATTTCTTCTTGTATTTTTATCCCTCCCGATTAATGTTAGGGAAGAATAATCAGGCCCTTACCAGAGCCCTATTAATTTTTCTACTCGGGGAGTTCGATATAAGTCGCGAGGGGCCTCCGAATGAAGTTCCGTCGCGGCGCGATCTCGCGTCCGCTCGAGCTCGACGACGACGGCGGCGGCGCAGCACGCGGGGCCATCGTAGATTCACGACTCGCGCGCCCCGATAATCGCGAATTCTCGGGCGTGATTTTTCAGGCGAACCGCGCGCGAACGCGAAGAGTCGTGCTCGGCGGGGCGCTTATCGAGCGAGTCGGCCGGAACCCGCTCGGAACGCGCGCTGCCGATCGGCGGTGGCGGAAGCGCGCTAATGTTATCGAACTATCTCCGCCGACCAGCGTGAGCAGGAGGAGGGGGAGGAGGGAGATCGTGATTCGAATGGTAATCATCCCGACGCGGTACGTAAGCCACTAACGTCTTCCATGCAAATAGACACGACTTCGCTCGTCCACGCACGTACGCGTTTCCGCGACCGTATGCGCTCCCCTCGCTCACCCCCGAGCCGCTCGCTCACCCTGTTCGAGGACGCATATCGCGTTCTCGGCCCGATATATCCATCCGGACGAGAGATTGCGTTTGCCGCACTGCGGGGCCGGATATGTAGTACGAGCTGCTCGACGATGTACTTTCGAGGCTGTTGCCCGCACGAACGGCCCGTCCGTATCCCCGGCGATCCCGGGCGTGACGGCCGTCTCGCCGTTTGAAATTAGCGGAATAAATGAGCGAGCGCACGCAGTACCTATCGCGGTCTGCAGTAATTGTTTTTTACTTGGCTCGCGTTTGGCAGGTCGTATCTCCCGCGGGCCAATCGATCACGAGGAATCTGAACTCAGGCGCAGAGAGCTCGCGACGTAGGTCGCGTTGCGAAATGCCGTCTCTGACAGTTTCGACACTCTCTGACAGTCTCTGACACCCTTTGCGGACAAGTGCCGCTGCTACGGCAAACAAATGAAAGACGCCAATGCGAAGCTTAATCAACCGTCTTCTGCTCACTTGTTATCCCGGTGCATTATATTCTAATACACAGGGTGTCTAGAATCTTTTGGAAATGAAAAGTTGTGAAGATTGATCAGATGAAACTGAGAAGAAAAGTCATGTACCATTTTGCAAAAATTGCACCAGTTATTAAGTTATTAACTCTCTCTTGCGATTCTATTTACCGGCAGAAATGAGTATCAAAATGGTTAAATTTGTTCTGTGGAGAAAAATATTTACTTTCATGTTTTATAATAGTTTTCGAACGTGCTGATTTCAAATTTGAGGTTGTTGTTGCAAAATTCAAAATGCCGGATCAAACATGGCGGACCTAAAAGTAATAAATTTTATCCCCGAATCAGACTCGGGTCTAACCGTAAGCCGATTAATGATTGAAAATGATCACATCTAGAGAACTATCTCTTTTAATTAATAACTGGAAAATTTGCGTACTTATTTGCAAAATAGTAAAGGATTTTTTGTTCAAAATAACCTAATCTACAATTATATGACGGCTATTGTGCTTAGAAATAGGTTCAAGATTCAGAATTCAAAGTTTAATGTACTCATATTTATCGCTAAACACAATAGCCGTCATATAATTGTAGATCATTTTGAACAAAACAGTCCTTTACTATTTTGCAAATAAGTATTTAAATTTTCAAGTTATCAATTAAAAAAGCTTCCGGATGTGATCATTTTCAATTATTAATAACTTAATAATACCACCTATTGCAATTTTTGCAAAATATTTGACTTTTTTTCTCAGTTTAATCTGAATAATCTTCATTTTTCATTAATAATTTTTTGTCCCCAAAAAATCCTGACACTCTGTATATTATGTTGGATTACTACCGATAAAATCTATGATCTAAATCTAAAACGATACGTATTTTTCTTTAGTCTGATATTTAAGTTTTTAATCTATAATCTTATTTTATGTAGAAAATATGCTCGGCCTGCCGGAAATTAGAGTTGAGAGAGCACTCATTCTCAAAGGAAATTAACATTTTAAACGCCATGTCAGTCACCGGTATCCGATAATACAAAATTTAATGAATAATATCTTAATATTAAAAATTAAAAGTTTTAAAATAATGAAGAAAGAAAGATATATCTATATATTACTTTTATTAATATTAATATATAGGAAATGAGACACCTAAAACAGACCATCTGATTAACTTTGAAAATACGCAAGATAGATAAAAATTAAATACAGAAGTAGGATTTTAAGTGACGCATCATATAGCAATACTTGTATGATCTTGAACAGTGTCATTTAAGTTACGAGAAGGTCTCTTTGAATTTTTTAAATGGAAACCTTTTTTTATTTTCGTCATATTTTTTTACCATTTAATTTGAATAACTTTTGCCTGAAATATTTTTATATTTGCCTCATATTATTTAAGGAAAACTTGATAACTTTTACAATATCTGGCATACGATATCTCGGTAATTATTTGTCGAGAGAGAAAGTAGTACTAGACTTTTTTATTCTATTTGGAGTTTACGACGTTTGGCTGTTAACTTATATTAGACTTGTATCAATAAGAAGTGCAAAATATGTCACTAGTGAAACGATGATTGACAGAGGTGAAAATAAAACGTATAAAGGTATGAAATATTTTCTTCATTGTCCCATAATGAGCTTTGAAGATGATATTCAATATAAAATTCGCGATACTTTGTGCAACAAGTAAAAATTGCCATTGGGTTGGCAATAATTTACTTTCAATCTTTACCTTCAGACAGTTTGTGCTATCCTGCTAATCACTAATTTGCACGAGACTACAAATGCGTTCCATTTTCCGCGCTGCTGACCATTTACTGGCGATTTTGGAACAACTAATACGCTGCTTTCAGTGCTATCAGCACTATTTTGAAACGCAGCCATATAGATAGCAATGACTTCGTGTGGGATATGGAATATACTACGTAATATATTAGTTGGCCCAGAAAGTTCGTGCGATTTGAATTTGGTGCAATGAGTCGTCGAATCTTGTTGAGACTCGTTAGGCGCGCGTGTTTACGCGTGTCACAGATTTGCGTGAGTCGATTGGTGAACTTTTTTGTTCTATGGTCTTTTCATTTACAACTTTTGATTTACGATTATTCATCCTTTTAAAATGTCTGTCAAATCGAGCGTAATTCGAACATATCTGCTTCATGAATTTAAATTTGGATCGAAAGTTACAGAAGCATGTCGTGAGATATGCGTAGCATTTGGAGAAAATGTGCTAAAAGAACGGACTGCATAGAAGTGGTTCAAAAAATTTTCTTCTGGCGACGAATTATCTGAAGATGCACCACGTTCAGGAAGACTCTCCGTTATTAATAACGAAAAGTTATCGATTATTTATTCACATAACAATTATAACATTCCTTCTAAAAATTTCGGCCCTTTTACGTACAAAACCGTACGAATCTTTTTGGTTACCTAAGTTCTTCTGGTTCACAATCTTGCTTCAAGATATAAGCCGTAGGCAAATTGACCAAGCACGATTGTTGCAAGAATAATGGACTATTGTTAGTCAATTTGCTTATGGCTTACGGCTTGAAAGGCCTGCTCCGAAATCGGTTCCGGAAACTTTGGTTTTAGTTATAAGATTGGAAGGTCTTAAGCTAAGTTTGATGCGTTCCGCAATTGATCAGCTAATCACACGCTTGAACATCACAACTATGTATTATTCCTGTTTGCAAACTTGGTTTGAGCTATTAACTTTACAATATTAGATAGCAGAATATTAGATAGCAGAAAGTCTGCAGATAAATGGATAGATTTTTATTACTTACTATCTTGATAACTGACCAGCTGATCAATGACGGAGCACATCTAAGTTGGTTTAAGGCCTACCGACCTTGTAACTAAAACCAAAGTGTCCGGAACTGATTTCGGAACAGGCCTTTCAAGGTGTAAGCAAATTGACCAACAACAGTCTATTATTCTTGCGATAATCATGATTGGTTATTAATTCTCCTACGGCTTACATCTTAAAGCAAGGTTGTGAACCAGAGTTTAGGTCGATATCGCAACAGGCCTAAAGCAGGGTTGACCAGGGTTAATACGGCCGAGTGAACATGACGCTTTTACCGCGGCCCGTTTCACTCGGCATTTGTTTTTCCCGTCGGATTACGCGATTCTTCTTTCCCTGGCGATATCTATATTGCAGCGAAGCCGCTCGGATTGTTCTTTTGTAGGAAACACGGCGCACATATCGCGGCACTACAGGGCGGACGTCTTCCAAGAGCACGCGACGCCGTGGAAGGAAAGCGAGCCATACTTCGACACCTCGGTATCGGCCAACGTCACTGGCTTGGTCGGTAAGACTGTGGAGCTGCTGTGCAAGGTGAAGAATCTCGGCAACAGAACGGTGAGAACGCATTGAGAGTGCACGTTGTTGCGTATGTGTCGGCATTTTTTGATAGATTTAACGAGCCACGCGAACGAGAGTCGATGGACAGGAACATCCTAGCCATCGGTTAAGGGTGATTCACATGGTGCTACTTTTATTGGTACACATGGTGTCACTTTGAGCAAGCTTCTTAATTCGCCAGCGAAAAAAACTTCTTATAAACAATAGATTTTTATTTGCCAGAGTCTACAATTTAGAAGACGCGACGTCTAGTCTAGTCGCTGCGATAAAGTTGTGCGACATCCCTTGTAAGAGAATTGTTAGGGCCATCCTCATGAAACATAAGGCCCTGATAAGGCTGGAAATATATAGGATACTCTAAAAAGGGATGCCTCATCATTATCACATCAGGCCCCGAGATGGATCTTTTAGGGATACCATAGATTTTACAAAATAAGACCTTGCTAAGGAAAACTGATGAGGACCTTACAAGGATTTTTTAGGGATGTCTTAAATTTAATAAATAAGGCTTTGATAGGGAAAACTGAAAAGAACCTTAGAATGATTTTTTAAGGATGCCTTAGATTTAATAAATAAGACTTTGATAGGGAAATTTGATGAGAGCCTTAAAAGGATCTTTTAGGAATACTTTAAGTTTTACGAAATAACGCTTTAACATGGAAAACTGATGTGGGCCTTAAAAGGATCTTTTGAGGATGCTTTAGATATACAAAATCAAGTTTTGTTATAGAAAATTAATAAATCTGAAACACGTAATAAAATTGTCATAGTTTAGTATTATTTTAGTAGATACGCTCTATCTGCTTCTTTTAAATATTTTTTATTTATACCGCGATTAAAAACAAATTTTATTAGTTTTATTAGTTGCTATATTCATTAGTCTCTTCCTAGGATTTTTCTAGTATTGCTTTTGTTTTGAAATGTAGCAAACTTTAATAAAAAGTAGCAGGATTTTTATGTGTAAAGAATGCTATATTTTGTTGTAAAGTATGCTATATTTTTAAAATAAAAAATTCTTACTGTATACTAACTAGGTTATAAAGAAATAAAAAAATTACAGTCTAAATTTTTTGGAATGAAAGGAACGAATATTTTTACTCAAGCAATAATAAAAATATTTCCTTATAAGCCCCTATTAATATTGCTTTATAAGGATCCGTTAAACCATTTCTTACACTTATTTTATGGGATCCTTATCTTTCTATCTTTACTACACTGAGAAAAATATCCGAAATATTCGATTGTTAATTTCGTTATCCGACCAAATATCCGATGTATTTAATCGGATATTTGATCGGATAACAAAATTAACAATCGGATATTTCTGATATTTTTCTCCGTGTAGGACCCGATTAATGTTGAAGGAAAATAATCGGACCCTTAGCAGAGCCCTATCAATCTCTCTACTCGGGATGTACGACTTTGAACTAGACGCCGCGTCTTCTAAATTTCAGATGCTGATGAATGAAAATTGAACGTCCAGAGACAGCTTTTACCAGCGAATTCGCTGGCAAATAAAGAAGCTTGCTCCAAGCGAAGAAAAGCAGCTCCGTGTGAGTTCGTCTTTAGCGCCGCAAGATTAACGCGAGATAAATCGCGAGCGCGTGTTGCCGCGCGTGAGAATGATTGGGCCGCTCTTAGCGCGGAATGGCGTATTTCTCGCGGAGCGAATTTTAAGGCTTACGCGCGGCGGCGACTCGGCTCGCTGATGCGGGTAATATCGGCAGGTGGAGAACACGACCATCGACGCGCCGTGTAGATAGGCTCGCTCGAGCGATGCAGGGCCTCGAGGGCGAGCGGCGAAGGGCAACGGGAACATTTTCGAGATGCCAAGCGCGAACGACGAACTGCATCTCGTGTGCGGTATTAGCCGACAGCGCGAATCTACACACAATGTACGCACAGCGCGGCTTCATGTTTACATCGTAATTCGCCGAAGCGGCGAGGGAAATCCGCTGCGTAAACTCGCCATCGGCAGAAGACTCGCGCCATTTTGTCGACGCCGAGATTCGCTGAAGACTTCCGCCGCCGCTGCCGGGCGGCCGGCGAGTTGATTAAATTCAACCCGCTCCTCGGCGGAGGACAAATTTTTTCGCTGCCGCGGCTAAATCAGTGTTTCGCGAGCGGCTCGATAAATTAAGCCGAGGGCAGACGCGGCCCTCGGGGAATTTATCTTCCACTTCTACGACCCTTGGACGTCCTCGACCTCGGGTATTAACGTTCCGCGGCACTACTCGGGGATTATCACATGAAGCGGTTAAGTAGAAAAGGACGACCTTGGTCGGGCCACGTCTTCATGCGGAACTCGGCTCTCTCTCTCTCTCTCTCTCTCTCTCTCTCTCTCTCTCTCCCCCCCCTCCCTCTCTCCCTTTCTCTCTCGCGCCAGGTGGCGTGGTCGCAGTTTTAATCCCCATGGCTCATCTCTATGCAAAACTCCGTCTCCCGCGTTCATGTTAGCCGCAACTACGTGTATACTCGACTAATACGTTTCGGTGACACCGCGCGTGCACGACAAAAGAGTGACGCGATGACTAATCAATATTCGATTAAGAGGGACAATATTAACGACATGTTATAGCGCGTTGATTTAGCGCCGCTGCCGGCTCCCTCGCCACCGAAGATACACGCACATGTGCACGTGCGCGCATGGCTACGTCTGCATGCTTAGTATCGCGTGGGAATGTCGATGGGACCGCGTTCCATCTCGGTTGGACGAAATTGCTCAGGGTCTTCGACCCGGACGCGGCCGCGGCCGTGCCGGGGCCGGCGCAACCACGGGCGAGTCGAAAACGATGAAGTCGTTTGAAAAAGTGCCGGGCCTGCGGCAAGTCGGTCAGAATAGGCGACGCACTCTTTCTCTCTCTCTCTCTCTCTCTCTTGCTCTTTCTCTCTGCACAAAAGGCGATATTAACTCGAAAACTTACTGCCGCGTGCGCAAAAAGATTCAAGCGGCAATCGCCATTACGACGCGGCCGCAGTGCGTTCTTGGATTTTATCCGTTCGCGTATTTCTGTCGGGATTGTGCACAGCCGCACTCTCCCCCTTCCTCCCCTCTCTCTCTTTCTCTGTCTCCTTGTCGCGCGCGTATCGTGAATTTTATTACGCGGAAAAAAGTTTCCCCCGAGAGTGGCAAAGAGAGAGAAAGAGGGAGAGAGAGAGAGAGAGAGAGAGAGAGCTAGGGAGAGAGGGAAGAAGAGAGAAGTGCCAGGCGGGTGCCTTCTTTTTGCGGAAAGTATATTAACTGCGACGCCGGCATATTCGAGCGACAATATCGCATTAGAGCGGCGAGCGAGAGGCAGCACTCGTAGTTTATATTTCCGATTATGTGCAGGCGCGCGCGCAAGTTTTAACACGCAGACTCGATCAACGCCGCGATGAATTATCGCCGGACGCGTTGCAACGCGCGCGGCGCGCGTTGTTTCTCCATAAATATTTGTTAAAGTACCTAAAGTCGGCCTCTTCCCCCTTCCTCCCGCGCGATCCTCCATCTGTCGTTGCGTACATAGAGAGAGAGAGAGAGAGAGAGAGAGAGAGAGAGAGAGAGAGAGAGAGAGAGGGAACGGAAAATCACTTACACCGCTCTGTTACCGCTGTTAATTAATATTTACGCGCTCGCATCGGCGAGACACGCGGCGAAATGTCGAACGCATCAAGACAATAGCGCGCGGATTATGTAACGGCTGTTAAATTAATCACAAGTTATTACGCGACGCGATGCGAAATTCGCTGTCGTAAGTTTAATTAACTAAAACTGATCCGCGCTCCGCTGATATTTTTGCACGGATAAATGTTCGAGTGACTCGCTTCGGCGCGGATTAGCGAGCGGCTTATTATTTCCGGCTTGGCCGCCATTCCTCTAGACATTACAGTCCGGCCCTCAGTTTAATCATTTCGTATAAACTCGTGTAGGAGGAACGTTCAAAAAGTTCTCGGAAAGTGTTTGTTATTCGGAATGCTGTATTTATAATTAATTGATGCGATCGTAAGTTTGCTGAGACTTGTTTCATCGAGTGTTCGCGACAGTGCTGCGCGATACTCAGGCGTGGTATTACGTCAGTTTGAAATTACCCTTACATCTACGAACATGGGTTCGGTGAATTTTGAAGCGCGCGCTAATATTAAATTCTTAATTGAACTGGCTTGGAAAAAACCTGATGTTATTAAGGCTATCACAGATGTTTGTAGAAATAATGCACTCGCGAAAAAGCTCTGTGAATGGATTAATCATTTTAATGAGGGTCGAGGAAACATCAAAGGCAACAGTGGGAGACCGTCAACTTTAGTTCCTGAAAAAAATATCCGTGCTGTGGAAATTATAATGAGGAAAATTATAACTAAATAACGATGAAAATGATAGCTGAGACTTTAGACACATCCGTAGGATTTGAATATTTGAGAAACAAAGAGCTTAATTCAATTTGGTGTGTTTTTATTTACATTTTTCGGAACTTTTTGAACACCCTTTATATGAGCCAAAAAAGAAGTGCCACAACTGAGCATTATGAATTGGCTCAGCCAATTTCCAACGGACTTGCATCAAAGTTGATTCACTTATGTTTCTTGGGTCGCTAACTATAAATTCGGAATCAAATTGGAGAAATTCATAATGGCAGATCGAACATGGCGACACTTCAATACTCAATTTTGTCAGTTTTTGAAGAATATCTATTAACATTGTCATCCCCATCTGATTTTGTATGAAATTTCCTTTATAGAGGGGTTTTTCAAGTTGCTGGTGGCGAATCCGAGATCAAAATTTCAAAATTCAAAATGGCAATACGGCGGATCCAAATGATTAATTTTGTTATTGCATTATGGAGATCATATCGTTTATGTATTTTTGGCTGACGATAAATCCAATCAAAATTGCAAATTCTAAAATAGCGGATCCAAGATGGCGGCGCTTAAATACTCAATTTTGTCAGTTTTTAGAGAATATTTATTAAGATTGTTATCTTCATTTCATTTATTTGAAATCTTTATAGAAAGTTTCTCGGTTTGTCAGTTTTACAGACGAACCCAAAGTCGGAATTTCAAAATTCAAAATGGTAGATCCGATATGGCGACTCCGAATAACTAATTATGTTATACCATTATAGAGAAGATCATGTTCGATATGTTCATGCTTTGCATGGATTTCTGATGATAAATCCAGTCGAAATTGCAAAATCGAAAATGACATATAGCGACCAATACAGCGACTAATTCTAGTGACTAAGTACGGTATTCCATTATGGATATTTTCACCTCCATTATTAACAAGTGAAATATTATGAAGGAAACTTCTCTGCCGAGTGGCTTTGGTGAAATTCTTCGAATATATTGCAGTCATTATCTGCGAGCGAAAAAAGCATATTAAGTTTGACACGTGTCCATAATGAAATATCAAAGTTAGCCACTTGAAGCCGTCATATTGGATCCGCCATTTTGAATTTTCAAATTTCAATCTTCGATTCGCCAACGACCTAAAAAGAAAGACTCTTATAGACAAGCTTCCATGTAAAATAGGAAATTTTTCGCTGTCACCAGTTTTAGCACAAAATGTCGATTTCGGGGCCACCAGTGGATCCGCCATTTTGAATTTTAAAATTTCGACCCTGGGTTCGTCGCCAACAACCCCCAAAAAAAGATTCTTATAGATAAGCCATTCCAGGTAAAATATGAAATTTTTTGCTTTCACCAGTTTTGGCACAAAACGTCGATTTCGGATCCACTGAGTGAACTGCTTAACGAGCACGAGCGCAATACGTACTCGGCGTTTTCTCTAAATCGCGCGGCTGCTGGTCATCCCAGGTCCGCGTCCGAGAGCCTGGGGGTCGCGGCTCGAAAACACGCTGGTAATTTGCGAAATGGCGCGCCGGCGAAAAGCCCGATTGAAGTTATTAAAGTGACGGGCTCTCGTCGTTACGCCGGCAATTCCCGACACGTGGGCAAATTGCTCGAGGTTACGGATGTTATACGGCGACGGCACCGAATCATCATCGGTCGGGTCCTACGCTAATTAACGGCTTTGACAACTCGCCGGCATCATCCGAACTTAGCGAATGTCACTTTACACCCTTCCATGTTCGTGCAAACTTCGTTCATACCGCCGGGCCGCCTCTTTCGACCCGCCGTAACGACGTAATCTCACGACACACCCTCCCCCCTCCTTCCCCACACTCTCCCGCGAGACCCCCTTGTCGCACATTTCGACACGGTGCTTTCGGCGGGCTATTAGCGATTTCAACCGCGCAACCAATGTGTTTCGCGTCACGTCGGGCCGATTAGACGACGCGTCGTTTCGCAATTTCCCAGCAAGGGCCGCGCGAAGGGCGCGCGGGCGCGAATTCGTCGCGCCTATAAATAATTACAGAGCACCGCGGCCGTGGCGGCGCGCCGAGATTGTAGCCGTACATCACGGAGTTATGCGGCATTAAACAAAGACATGAAGTATTCCCGCTGCGGCGAATCTACCGCACTCGTAAATTTCTCCAGCCGGCAAAAGGGAGAGTATAAAGTTTTATCGCTTAATCTTACGTGCAACAGGGCGCTTGATAGTTAGCAGTGCGTGCGGCCCGCGGAGGAACTCAAGATTCCTGCATTCAGATTGCGGAAGCCGACGTGCCTTCGCTGGTCCGTCCGCTAATCCCGCGGATTTACCGTCGGATTTAGACGACTCGGGAGCGGCCGCGCACGAGTCGCCTATGTTTTGCAACTGCAGCGGTTAATTATATTTTGATATTTCATACTATTAGATGTACAATTGAATAATGCTTTTCTAAGCGGCTAAGAAATTAAATGTGAATTAATCAAATTTCTCCGCTCTTTTACGGTTATGTACGTAGGCAGTCTGAAAAGTTCTCGACCTGACACATACATGGCATCAGAAACTGTCAAACTATAATCGTATTGGAAAGTGGCATCCCTGATATAAACCCATGTAAAATTTTGTTCGATCTGTCAAATCATTCGAGTAGTAGCACCAGTTGAAAAAGCTTTGTATAAGATGGATGCCGCATTTGCTAACAATTGATCAAAAACGCAATCGAATGCATATTTCTCAAGCGTGTTTGGATCGTTTTAAGCAAAATAAAATGGATTTCAAGCGTCGTTTCATAACTGTTGATGAAACTGTTGGATCCACTACTATACACCAGAGCGAAAAGAATCTTCCGGAATCACACTTTAATGATGGTATTGAATTATTGGAAAAACGTTGGAATAAATGTATTGAAGTTTCAGGAGATTATATTGAAAAATAAAACATATTCATGGCAAAAAAAATTTTCTTTCATTGTTAGGCCGAGAACTTTTCAAACTGCGTAGCATGTTGACATATAGCTGATAAAAATTACATTTTTGCATGGCGGAAGTCCCAACATAACCTCAAAAATTATTCAGTCCAGTACAGTCAAAAATGGCAACAAATGTAGATGTAAATAAAAGATGTATATCCGACACTGCATTCTTTACGAAATCCAATGAGAAAAAAATGCTGCAAGAACATGCGAATCGATTTGTTCCTTTCTCGATGAAGGTGTTGTATCGTGCGATATGTGTGTATTTTAGTTTCGACGGTTCAAAAGCGGCGAATTTAGTCTGAATGACAAAGAACGTCCTGGAGACCCTCGGAAGTGCGGCAACCGATTTGAAGCAACTGCTCGCTGAAAATTTAGCACAAACGTAAAAAGAGCTTGCAGAGCAGTTAGGAGTAACGCAACAAACTATTTCCAAACGCCTACACGAGATGGGGAAGGTTTAGAAAGAAGGAAAATAGGTTCCGCATGAACTCACTGAAGCCAAGAAAAATCAACGAGTGGTAGTACGTCTTTCTCTTCTCAATAAGCAGCGTATAAGAAGGTCTTTTTGTGAAAAATTGTTACGGGCGATGGAGAAGTGGATACTCTATGACAATCCGGAACACAGAAAGTCACAGGTAAATCCCGGCGAACCATCAACATCGGTCGCAAAGTCAAAACAATTCGGAAAGAAGATTCTGCTCTGCATTTGGTGGGATATGAAGGGCGTGATTTATTATGAGCTATTAAAACCGAATAAAACAATTACTGCGGACCGGTACCGGCACCAATTAATCCGTCAAGAACTAGAATGAAAACGTCCATGTAAGGCAAAGGAAAACGTCCTGTAAAATTGTTGCATGATAATTCTAGGACACACAACGCTTTTACGATAAAATACATCATAATGAGTCTTGGCTGGGACGTCTTGCAACACCCGACATATTCATCAGATATCGCTCCTGATTATCACTTGCTCCGGTCGATGCAACATGCCTTGTCCGATACGCACTTCGAATCAATGGATGAAATCCGAAAATGGCTCGACGACTTCATCGTGTCGAGAAACACAACATTTTTCCGACATGGAATTCATCAGCTGCCTGAAAGATGGCTTAAAATTATAGAAAACAACGGCGAATACTTTGACAAATTTCTTTTACTTTCTTTTAAAATAAACCTTGAATTTAGTTGAAAAATCTGAATTACTCATTTGTACACGTAATAATTATGATGACGTGAGAGACGCGCGCGAAGGCTACATCGCCGACACTTCCGTTTTGGATCGTACGTCGTTGTTACCCCGCTAAATCGTACGGCGTTTGTTTAGCTGAATCGTTTCCCCGCAGGTCTCGTGGGTGAGGCATCGGGACATCCACTTGTTGACGGTCGGTCGCTATACTTACACAAGCGACCAGCGTTTCGAGGCAACGCACAAGTTCCACGGGGAGGAATGGAAGCTGTGCATACGATACCCTCAGGAAAAGGATTCCGGTGTCTACGAGTGCCAAATATCCACCACCCCGCCCATCGGTCATCGGATTCACCTCACAGTGGTCGGTAAGTCGTGCCATGTTTGATAAGAAACTGAACCAAGCGCGATAGTGATGATTCCGCAATGTCGTAATGAATAATTTCGCGAGCGCAGACGACGAGCGAAGAGCGAATTTTCGTGGCGATTTCCCTCTTATTATCGGAATAAATCTCGAAGGACGCTTTCGTGCGCACAAAACTGCGCAAAACCGTGGCAGTGGGACATGCATTTCTCCTGAACATTGGCTAAATATTGACACGAGGAAGAAAGATATTGTCAACCTGTTCGAGATATTCCAACAACGGGAAACATTTGACTCAATTTGCTTTGAATAATTCGCGCCGATATAAGATGCCGATCGGTGTCGCCGCCGTCGTCGCCGTCGTCATCGTCGTCTCCTGGTCTCTGGATCTTTCAAATGAGATCTAGTTGTACGATTACATAAGCGTCTACATAGATCGAGATTCGAAGGAGCGTCGGAAAAATCGAACTACTTAGCGAAGACCGAGCGCATGCATTATCGACAAGCAGGAGCTCATTTAATCGCGAATATTCGAGTTAAAATTTCCACATTAACCTTGGAAATCCCGTTGAACCCAGAGAAGACCTACGGGAAATTATGTAATACTTTTTTTTACCTGAGATGTAATACTTTGCGTATGAAAATCAAGAAACGCACTCGAATCTGCCAGAACGAGTTGTGAATACGAATCTGTAATTGTCAATCGGTTTTCAGTTTTCAATCCAAGATGCTAAATGATTCGCAAGTATAAATGTTTGCCTTAAAATGTCATACAAGTATCGCAACTGCTGATGTCACGGGGAGAAAAATGTTCGGAGAGAAAAATGTTCGGCCGGATGAACCAATTTTCCGGTGAAATACGAACGACTCAGGAATTCTAACTGAAAAGAATTCTGTTTCGGTTAAGCGGAAATCTTGATAATTTAGACTGAATTCTGATAACTTCAAACGGAATCCCCGAATCGTTCATATTTCACGGGAAAAATAGTTTCATTTGACCAAACATTTTTCTCCGTGAATAATGTCCTTGAATCCCACGAGTGTGACCCTATCTACATCTGCTAACGCTTTCTTTTCATTTCCGTTTAAACTTGTCATCCTGCGGGATCCAGATTTAAAGCTCTACTGATAAACAGCACTGCTGGACGCGCAACTGTTATTTTTCCATCTTTTCAGTTTCTTCCTTATCAGCTCATCGAGATTTGAAAAGAAAGGAAAACTGTGAGAATAAACATTTTTCGCACTTTAATCTTTATCATCTAATAATTGTTAACCTCACTGTACTCGCACAATACTGTACTGACTTTATCTGTAACTGACCAAGTTATACAATTAATAAATTATAACTGACTGAAATTAAGGGCAAAGATTAATCGAGAGAAGGTAGAATATTGATAATTAAATACGCTGAAATGCCTTTTTCTTGAAAGACTTTCTTCTCCGCTTTTCTCGATAAAGACTGAAGAAAACGGCAGCAGCTAATTATTTTCAACATCAAGATAGGTTGATAGAAGTATTATACCTCGAGAGAGAAAGAGAGAGAGAGAGAGAGAGAGAGAGAGAGAGAGAGAGAGAGAGAGAGAGAGAGAGAGAGAGAGAGAGAGATTCTTTATTACTCCTTCAACTTTGGCGGAATTTACAAGTTTAATATGGAAGGAGAATTGCGATACGCAACATAACCATCTGATTGTCAGGACTAAATCAGAAGTTCAATTTAAGAATTTCTATACACCAATCTTAATTGGTTCATTAATAATTATTCATAAATGGGCGGAAAAGATCCTGCCAAAATTGATATGACTCATACATATATGAGCATCATGAATAACTCTGCCCATTTTCAACAGATTTGCATCGTATTTGGTATACCAATGTTTTTTGGGTCGCTGACTAAATCCGAAATCATATTTAAGAAATTCATAATGACGGATCCAATATAGCGGTGCTTCAATACTCACTTTTGTCAGTTTTTGAAAAATATTTATTAAAATTGATATCCCCATTTGGTTTTGTATGAAATTTTTATAGAAAGATTTTCGGGTCGCTGGTGATGAACCCGGGATCGAAATCTCAAAATTCAAAATGGCAGATCTAATATGTCGACTCCGAGTGACCAATTTTGTTATTCTATTACAGAGAAGGTCACATCCGATGTGTTTGTGCTTTACGGATAGTTAATGATGAATCCAATCGAACTTGCAAAATCTAAAATGGCGGTTCCAGTATGGCGGCTTCTAGTGACCAACGGTATTCCATTTTGGATACTTTTACCTTCATTATTAGCGGATGAAATATGTAGAAGGAAGCTACTTCTTTACCGAATGACTCTGATGAAAACCTCCAGATTTATGACGGTCGTTATCTGCGACCAAAAAATATACCGAGTCTGATACGTGCCCGTAATGGAATATTAAAGTTAGCCACTTGAAGCCGCCATACTGAATCCATCAGGTTGAATTTTGTAATTTCGATTCTCGATTCGTCGATGGCGACCAAAAAAAAAAAACTCCTGTGAATAACCTTCCATGTAAAATACAAAAATAATTTGCTCTCAGCAGTTTTGGCGCAAAACGTCAGTTACGAATCAAGATCTGTTGCGATCTATCAAACGCGTATCGCGCGGTAATCACCATCGAGCTTTCATCACCAACAGACCACATCACGCCACTGTGAATAATTGCAAGGAAAAGCGTGGAAAGGATTGCAAGCGGCGGAAGGGGGGGGGGAGAGGGCGAGAGGGAACACAGAATAGTATTTCCGCAACTTCCTTTTTTCTCAAACTTTGTTGGTCACTTTAAGCACTAAGAGGCCGCGGCACGTAACGAAAGTTACGGGGCCAGCCGGCCTCGCGGGAAACATCGGGCGATCGAGAGAATTATAAATCAATGCGGAAAGTTACCCCGGGGAAAAATTACCGACGACGCGCATGGCAGACGAACGTGGACATTGTCCACGGCTCGCGGAAAATCGCGGCCGTACGCGCGTGCCGAACTTACGAGAGGAGCGAAAGTTTCGTCAAGAAGCGGCGTACGTGCGTTTCGGCGCGCGCGCAAACTTCCGCAGGAGGAACGAACGAAGAAATCTGCTTGATTCATGAGGAGCAACGCTCGGAAACCGCTGACTCTCGTCCGACCCTACACGACGATTTCGTAATCTCGGTGCGTTGCGCTGCGCCTTGAGGCGCTTGAGTGAACCGTAATAAGTCCTTATGTAGTCCTCGTGTGCAGTCAAAGCGTACCGCACGAGAAGCGGGCGCGGTTTATAAATATTAAACTACAATTCGCTCTCTCGCGCGCAGCGGCAGAGCGGAAGATTATATCCTCCGCGAGGCGGGAATTCGTTTCATTCTTGCCGATTCGTCGGAATACAAATTGAAAGATCGCGCCTTTAATCGCGGATTTATCTTCGCTCAAGCGGGCCGCGAGCTCCTCGACGAAAAAACGATCGGATCACTCGCAGAAACTCGCAGTCACAACAGTGTTGTGCTCTCCCCCCGGCGTTGGCTGGCCGCGGGGGGAGAAGTTTTATCGCGATGGATCTTTGAGGGATAACGTCGGCGAGAGATGGCGCGGGCATTTCGCGAACACGAGTCACGAGCGTCGCCAATTATCGCGAGGCTAATGAAGCCCCTTTGCCGAGGAGGGATGGCGACCGGCTCGGGGAAAGAAGAATCGACGGCATCCGCTACTTCGCCGCAACGATCTCCTTCTTGTCTCTACGCCATCCATCACGTCGTCCCGCTTCTGGCCTCTTCTTCTTCTCCTCTACCCTATCAGTTCAGACTTGTCACTTTTTTTTTGTCTCGTTAAATGCCCTGTATCTCTTCCGCTTTTACAGCGGAACACTTCTTGCCGCTGCTAATCTCTCGCTGGGTAGCGACTCGCGATTTAATAACAATGCCACGGTAGCTTCGACTCTGGAGCGCAGCGCGGCGATTCGAAAGTCAAATAAGAACAGGTGTGACTCTCCCTTTTCTACCTCGAACAATGATGCCGGAGATTGAAAGTATGGCCTGAAATTTCGCGGAGGAATGACAGTCCTACCGCCGCACAGTGGGGCCAGATGACATTCTTAGGTTCAAAATTCTCTAGAGACCTGAATTTCCAACCGATCATCGACACCAATGGATGAGGTTGATCCTGAATAAATTCCGAAGAGATCTGTCTTGCCAAAATAAAAAAATTTTTTTTCTCGATTTACTAGCCCCAAAAGAGGAAAAATTATCGTTAAACGCATCGTTAAACGTATCATTATCGAGAAACTTGGGAAATACTCATCATTCGATACTTATTTATATCTAATAACGTATTCAGCGGATTGAAACTATGAAACCAATCAACAGACACCTCGAGATTTATCGATCTTGAACCAGAAACCCATTAACCCAAAACTCATATGCCCAAAATACAAAAACATCAAATATAGACCCGTTAAGCACAAAACCGAGAGATTTTTATCCTTAATTCTTTCTTTGGGCTGAAATGATGAGCTTTGAAATTCTGAGTTTTCTAAAAGATGATTATAAGTTCTGAGCTCTCGCATTTAGTGGGCCATAGGCTCGAACCCATTGAGATCGAACTCAAGACACTGTACTTTAAACGATAAACTTTTAAGACAAATCCTAAACCCATGAACCCTGAACCGATAATTTTTTCAAAATTTCGGCTAGACAGATCTCTTTGGAATTTATTCAGGAGCAATCTCATCCATTGGTGTCGATGATCGGTTGGGAATTCAGATCCCTAGAGAATTTTGAGACCAAAAAATGTCATCTGGCCCCACTGTGGCCGGTCCTCTCATCGATCTCGAGTGAAAGGCGCCCAAGGATCATCGCGGGGTGTTGCCAGGGCCGAAGAGCTGCTCGATCGATCCGCACATTCGTTTTCACCGGCCGTGTGCGTGACACACACATACACGCGATTATTCACGTCGGGTATGCGTGCAATGTGTAGCAACGGAACGGCTCGGGAAGAGAGGGATAAATTGCCTCTGCGGCGGTCGACG